GTCTATAGAGAGTCTATAGAGAGTCTATAGAGAGTCTCGTAGAGTCAAGTGGTCAAGTGTGGTAGAGTCAAGTGTGGTAAAGTCAAGTGTCGTAGAGTCAAGTGTGGTAGAGTCAAGTGTGGTAAAGTCAAGTGTGGTAAAGTCAAGTGTCGTAGAGTCGTAGAGTCAAGTGTGGTAAAGTCAAGTGTCGTAGAGTCAAGTGTGGTAAAGTCAAGTGTCGTAGAGTCAAGTGTGGTAAAGTCAAGTGTCGTAGAGTCAAGTGTGGTAAAGTCAAGACGCAAGTTTCCCACACTTTGCTGGTGACTGCAAGATGTCATCCTATGCTTGATCGCCGGAAGCGACGCAATGGTGGGACGTGGTGAACGCTCAACTCTACCAGACGGTGGCTTCCAGTACGTTGCAGCCGGAAACCCTGGAACATCCCAGCAGACTGGACTGCAGCCCGCTTTTCAGGCGCCTGGATCACTAGCAATTTTAATTTGTTTTTTGCTTCCCCACGTTGGAACGCTGTCTAGGGGAGGCGACACGAAGCGAACCTGCTTCTCATGCTTTATGCTAGTATCGACCGACTTATCAGGTGTTCCATCGTAAATATGCGAGTGGCTGCCATCGTCTCACCCGCACAGGGTAGAGAAGAGCCCTGGAAAGACATGCCCATCGTGTATGCAGTTTCCCTGGACTTTTTCCAATGACGTGTGCCGCACGCTTCCGCTTTTTATGTTTTCCCCGCACGTTAGTCCCATCGAAAAGGCTGCTGACGAGTGGTCCCGCTTGTGGACTTGCCCTGCGCGGCTGAAAGAGAGAGAAAGATTCCGCATTCTGTATTCTTCACGACAAAACGCAAAGGATAATGTGTTCCTTCTTGCGTGTCATCTCCGCAGAGGTCAAAAAAAGACCACGAAGGCCTACCAAAAGATGCCCTGGGGTTCGCAAAAAAGGACCCGCGGTCAGCATCAGCAACGAGTTATTTGGGGTGCGAAAAAAAGATTGCTTCAATCAGAGCATGGAGGTTGAAAAAATGATCATGGTTGTTTTCTGATCTCATCGTGGGCTTGAAAAAAAAACTTGGAGATCTAAACTAACATAGATTTGTATTGCATGTATTATTTTCGCAGCTCTATGTGCGGGGAAGGGTAAAGGTCTTACACGATCTGCATTGCCACAGTAGCGCTGGAGACTCGCCTCATCAGCATAGAAGCACACGAGCACACCCAACACAGCGGGCCGCTCCAGATCCAAGGAGATGGCATTTGAAAAATACCCAATTTAAAGCCTCACAGTCTTTGTTCGAGGCGTGAACTTAGCGGAAGCGAAATACACCAATCGACCTTTTGCACTGACACAGCTGACCTAAATAAGCTCGCTCACTGTACTTGTTCACAACTTCGTAACACCACTTCTGGAATCATTATGCGCTTGACACGCGCCGTTCGTGAGCCGAAGTGAAACTGGCTTGGATTGAGACGTTCTGAAACTTCAGCACTGCAGTCAATCTTTTTCGCAAACGCAGGTTCCGCAGAGAAAGGCCTTGGACCAACATAGTATCACACAAAAGATTCGTCGAAACATTGCATGGGCTTCTCAAACTTGAAAAAAACTCGGGAATGGGCTTTCAAGTTATTATTGCAAGCCGCCACAGGTTAAAGTCAAACCCGGTGGTTGCCATGGTGGCCCAAAGGAGTTGGAATGCAGAGTAGCATGGCATCGAATGTCAACACCCTGCTGGGTGAGTCATCATGGATGTGCTGGCTCCATCCGGTGCACGGGACCCCCGCAAAGTACCCGCTCCAAGTGTCGCAGCATGAAGGCCGGCAGTATTGAGTGTTTGGTGTGACAATAATGAGGCCCTTCATATCACGACAGGTCTCGACGGCCTCCGTCATGTTATGAACGAGGCTGCAAGCGGCGTGAGCCAATTACCTTGGAAACACATGAAGCAAGAGACCATTTGCATAACGCCGCTTGGGATCCAGTACCAGGACCGTCTTATTGGAAGATAGTGGCCACGTGAGAGCTTTGTGCAAGTGTCCTCTTGACAGTGTCTTTGCTCCTGCCGCTTGTCGACTAGGACGCAGACGATGGTCTGTCTCCGTGCAGTTCTTCTGAGTTCCACATACCCTTAGAATGGTCGGACCTGCTGTACACTGATACGCAGTTCCGAGATTCTAGGGAGCGAACGCCAACGCAGATCCTGCTGCTGGCTCCAGAAGTCGCAAAATCGGATGCTCATCGCCCCGTGTCTGGGCCGGCATGCATTGTCACCCGTACTAATCTAGTTGTTAGATGCACCTGTCTCCGTAAAAACGTCTGTAGGTGTGGCTGCTCTTCGGCCATTTCGACTCCGACGGCCTGGGACGTTTTCTGCAATCTCTTAGCCACCGCGGAGCTATACGTTGGGATTTGCGTGAGAGCTATGACGCCGTGAGACCCTGTGGACAAGGCTCGGGATGCAGCGACACTCCCAGCTAGCGAGTTTCGTCCACGCAGCAATCTCAAGAGGTCACCCAAACCTACTACAAATGCTCCAGCAGTCTAAGCAGTTATGCAGTTTCCAATCAGGCAACTTTATGTTCTGAAGGGTAGGGTCTCAGATGAATCTGCATGTTGTACGTACGTCTCCACCACGGTTGCCATCCATCACTTCTGGCTTCTTGGTAAGGGTGCTTACTTTCAGTTACCATGATAAGGAGGAAACCCCATTATTACTGTAGATCCCTGTCATGGCAACCTAGATGAACGAACAAGAATCCCAAATTGTGAGGCCTGCACGGGACCGTGTTCGTTGGGGAGTCGAAGGCGCAGGGGCTTCAGGCTTTCCACAGTGCTATGTGTATAGCACCCCCGCCAAAACCCTATCAATTTCATTCAATGCCCCTAGTACTTTTTCATTAATGCTCCTAACATTTTCATTGTGTTACGCACCCTAAACCCCATAAACCCGAAGCCCAAGACTACCAAAGCAAAGCCCTTTCTGTGGAAACTTCTCCCTAACTCGCGAAAGGCATCGCCTTCTTGCCGGACCCGGGGCCGCAAGGTGGCGGTGAAGGCCATCCGGAAACCCTAAGCCCTGAACCCTAAATCCTAGGGTGTAGGGTCTAGGGTTTGGGGTTTAGATCTAAAAGCCCTAAACATGCAACCCTAAACGTTGGGGTGTCGGGTTTAGGGTATAGATCCAGAGACCCCAAGCCCTCAACCCTGCATCCTAGGGTTTACTGTTTAGAGATAGAACCCCTAGAAACCCTCGAAACCCGAAATTCGAAATCCCTTTGTGTTTGGGGGCTTGGGGGATTGGGCGTTTCAGGTTACCGAGAATCTCGGATCCTGAACCCGGAAATTAGGGGGGTTTAGGGTTCGGGGTTTGAACCCGGAACTCTTGTAGTTCAGAATTTACTAAACCCTAAACCCGACGGGCTACATAATCCTGGAGAGAGGGGTTCGCTCCCTGGATTCTTTCGTGATGAAGGTCACGGACTCGGATGAGGATCGCGTCAGAAGAGAAGTTGGCTTCATGTTTCAGACGGGCGAGCATCCCAACATTGTATCATTGCTCGGCGTGCTGCTCTGGCTGCAGTAGAAGACAGATCACCCTTGAGCTTTGGGGGTTCGGTCAGGCAAGCCATTCCAGCTATTTAGCCGAATGTCCGAGTTTAGGGTTTAGGGTCCAGCTATTTGGCCGGATGTCCTGGTGTTTTTCCAGGTTCGGTGTGGAGAAGGCGGACGCTTCTTGCAAGCGCGAGCGCTACGCGTTGGCAGGGCTCTCGGTCGTCCCAGTGCTCACTCTCAAACCCTACACTTCAAACACAGTAGGCGAGGAGTCATGAGCCCCTCAATTCCACAAAATCTACCATAACATGGTAACTCCTAAACCCTAAACCCTAAACCCCATAAAATGGTAGGCACTTGTAGCCAGAAGTGGGGGGTCTCTTGAGGTCATGGAGCTGGGTTCCAGCGGGGATCTCGGGGCCCTACTTGCACGCGGCGACGCTCGTTGTGCAGCGTAGCTTTCCTTGCGGCCCTGGACCTTCAACCCTAAGCCCTAAACCCTGAAGGTGTTTTTTGGGATTTTTCCGAAACTTGCCAAGGTGCTTCCAGAGTTCCGAGGCATGGAGATCATGATCGGCGTCATGTCGGCGCTGGCGTTCCTGCACAGCCAGCGCATCGTCCACCGGGATGTGAAACCCGAGACCTGAAGATATAAAGGGAGTCATTGAGTCATCGCAAAGCCTCAGCTGAAACCCCTAAGGAGAATGTTGTCTTGCACGCTGACCATCGTCCTATGCTGGTTGATTTCAGCATCGCTGCATCCTTAGACGATCCTGTTGCGTTACTGCGGAGCAGTGGCTCGCCAGGACTCTCTTCTGTTGAAAGTTATGGGTTTAGGGTTTAGGGTTTAGGGTTTAGGTGCTGCATAATTTTCCATGTGTTTCTCCTTGCCGAAGCATCAGCTGGAAATGAGCAGGATACGCGGCTCCTGAGATAGTTGAGCAGCGACCTCATTGCGAGAAAGTGGATGTCTTCGGCGCGGGTGCTCTGTGGCAGCACGGAAGCAAGAAGCTCTGGGGATGGTTTTTGGCTGGAGTGCAGTGTGAGTGATCTTGCGTGGTTTGGGGCTCCTCTGCCGAGGTACACATTGATGTCAGGGCGATTGCCGTTTTCCGGCAGTAGCACGAAGGCCGAAGAGCCGCTGTTGAGTCAGGTGTCTTGCTTACGGCCGTCTTTTGAAAAGGGACCGTGCACCTAAACCCTAAACCCAGAGCCCCAAACCCTCGATGTGGGGGACGACGGGAGAGCCATCACAACGTAAGCAGAAAGCCTCGCGCCAAAACCTGCGAGTTCGCTGCGCAGGAGATCCTTGCCAACTCGCGCCGGTGCGATGTCGAGCTGGCCATGAAATCTTGTCCGGAATGCAATGAGCCGCAGATGCAGTCGTTGTTGAAAGGACCTCAGCCTCAACTCAGGGTTTCGAGCCATACTTATGCAGGGACTGCAAGTGGTAGCTATCCCCACTTCCTAGCTACGCCGAAACCCTAAACCTAAACCCCTAAACCCCTAAACCCTAAACCCTGAAACCTCTAAGCCCCTAAACCCCTAAAGGATGCAGACCTCTGCCCTTTGGAGGAATGCTGGCAAGGACCCTAAACCCTAAACCCTAAACCCTAAACCGGAGGAATGCTGGCAAGGAGGCCTTCGGAACGACCCTCGGCCCCTCTGCTCGGTTCAGAGTGGAGCCCTTGCGGGGCGTGACGAAGATCCCTAAGCCCTTGTGGGTTTAGGGTTTAGGGTTTGGGGGACAGGGGTTTAGGGTTTAGGGTAAAGGGTTTAGGGTTTAGAGGTTTAGGGTTTAGGGTATAGAGTTTAGGGTTTGGGGTTCAGGGCCCTAAACCCTGAAACCCTATACACCCTAAACCTCCTCTGGCCCCTGAACCCGAAGCCCAAACCTTGTGATCCTACGCGCCCTAAACTCCTAAGCCTCCTTGGAGTTCGAGGCACTCGAGTGCTTCAAGTCGCTCTGGCAACTGTCGGAGGCTGCGAGACGATCTCCAGACGCTGAGCTTCAAACTAAGGGCTCCGGCACCCGCACTGCCTAGACCCTAGACCCTAAACCCCCAACCCTAAACCCCCAACCCTAAACCCTAAGCCCTAAACCCTAAAACGCGAAAGCCTAAACCCCAAATCCTAAACCCTAAACCCCCAGCCCTAAACCCCAAGCCCTAACTTCCAAACACGAAAGCCTAAACCCAAAATCCTAAACCCTAAACTCCAAACCCCAAGCCCACCCCCCTTCGAAGTTCAGACCGGACTCCGATCCCATTCTTCAGGATGGCCTGAGGCCCGCCAATTTTTACCCCCTAAAGCCGCAAGCTTCCCAGAACCCCTGAATCCTAAGCCGTCTAGGTTTTAGGGTGTGGGGTTTAAAGCCTAAATCCTACATCCCAAACCCTGCCTGAACAGCAAACCCTCGAAACTCCTTGAGCAAATCACACCTTGAAACAAAAAATCTTCCAACCTTCTACTAAGGCCTCCGTCGAGTCCATGGCCTTGGCCTCTTTGGGCCTCACTCCGGCGCCCCAGGTTCCTGAGCGCCCGACACAAGGCACAGGGCCCCCGTAAAACCGGGGCCTTGGTCCAGGAGTCCTCTGAGGGGTTGAAGGGAGGGTTCCAGAATGGGCTGCCCCTTTAAAGGGTAGAGTAGGGTTCTAGAGTCGGCTTGCCGGCATAGGGTTCCAAAAGGGTTCGTTGAAAGAGTTATAAGTGGGGTTATAAGTAAGGCAGCTATAGTTTTAACCCATATTCGGGGGCTTGTAACCCCACTTATAACTACCCATGAACCTCCAAGTAAGGCCTATTAGAAGGGTTTGCTTTAAGGGTTTGGTACCAGTGGATGCAAGGCACAGGGATGGGCTGGAAGAGCCAGCAATACGGAAACAATCGGACGTCAAGCTCTATCATAAATATGAACATGCTTCTTATTCTCCCTGCCGATCAGCAGTGTTATTATCATTATTATTGTTGTTGAATCGGAGGACGCCATGTAAACGTGCAAAACCGACATGCCGATTATCGGTATGTCTAGTGCTTCCTGTATTTCACGTGCCGTATATATCGGTCAGGAATTGTGCACGTGCCAAATCCCTCGGTATTTACGACGTTTCCTTTGCTTGCAGTACCGAAACCACAGGTATTTGCGATGTTTTCTTTCCATGATCACGTGCGCACAGACTCCATCCGTTCCCACGGAGCATCCATGTCCCAACCATATTAGCGTCCACGTAGATTCCATCCGTTCCCACAAAGCATCCATGTCCCAACCATATGAACGTCCACACAGACTCCATCCGTTCCCACAGAGCATCCATGTCCCAACCATATTAACATGCACCGGTACTTTCATGGTCCTCATATTCCCTCTGCCGGCTTTTCTGTCTTGCGGCGCATGGCTTTTGTCACACGACGCCCACGCGAAACGACACAACGCAAACAAAAAGCCACGCTTGCAAAATTTGTGTCGGCCACTTTCCCACAGAAAAACGCATTTTTTTTTAAAACAAGGGTTTCAAGCAGGAAGCGAAACAACAGCCAAAGAGACCATGTTCGAGACTTCCGCGTGCAAAACATGGGTTTTGTCCCTCACAGGCCACGTAAAACGCATATCGGAACTTCCGTCGTTTCCACGAGAATCAACATGTCTAAAACTTCGGCAAAAACGGGTCAAAAAACATGTTGCCGAAACGTGACATGTCGTTGGTCCCACGCAGCCCGCGCAAAACGTACGTTGCCGTGCATGGGCCGTGCGCGCGTTTACATGGCGGCCGAGCGTTATTATTGTTATTGTTATTGTTGTTGTTGTTGTTGTTGTTGTTGTTGTTGTTGTTGTTGTTGTTGTTGTTATTGTTATTGTTATTTTTATTGTTATTGTTATTGTTGCTGTTACCTGATTTTTCATTATGATTGTTATAATTACTGTTATCATCATCATTATTGTTGTTATCATATTTCTTATTACTAAAATTATTCTTGTCATTTTTGCTTTAACCAAAATCAGGGGAGCCAGCATCCTAAACCCTAGGCCCCACACCCCAACCCTAAATCCCAAACCCTA